TATTCTCTCAAACAGAGATCAATGATTTTACATATAGATCTTTCAAGAAAAACAATGTCATAGTCACTGTGGTCATGTTATTAAATTTCAAAAAAGAAATTGTTTTCTTTCACTGTCCCCTTTCCAAACTATTTATAACTTAGATGTTTCTTCACTCTGTAAGTTCCTTGATACTCAGCATCAGTCTCTTAACAGGGATAATAGTCAACGATCTTCATCCTCCAACAATAAGAACGTTTACTGAGCATCTCCTATGTGGCAAGCATACTGCTAGGTGCTGTGAATACAAAGACAGACACACCCTGGCCCTTGTAATGAAGGCTAAGCGAAAATATTCCTATGTGTTTAGAAGTTAATGGGCTGCTACCTACTCCTCATTCTTCCTGCTCTATCCCAAGACTGACTTCAAGGACATCGTACTGAACTACACTCCCTGATGTGGACAAATAATCTAAGGCAGAGGAGCATGATCGTTGAACACAAAATATGGCTTCTGTTGTGAACATGTGGCAAATGAACTTAATTCTTACAGGATTGCCTCAGCTTCATCTGTAAAATAAGAAAGCTTCGTGTGTGGATTTGAGAGGCAAGGATTGGACTACGTGATTCTAAGATTCATTCTAACTCTTACTGGCCTGTAAGGTTTGGACTTACAGTTTAATGATATAATGCTTTCAATAATTGTTTAGAGGCAGGACTTTACTTCTTATAAAGACTAGTAGAAATGAAGCAAAACCACTGAATCTTCCATTGTAGGAAAACCAAACACATGTCTAGCCGTGTCTATTTTGGATCTACAGTGGTGGACTAATCAGTCAAGGCCCTAAGCTCGGTGGAAAATTCACTTCATTAGAACAGGAGCACATGCATTCAAAAAATACATCATGTATCCGGCTGATTGTGAAGATCATTGTTGTCTTTCAAAATAAAGGTAGAATAAACAAAGTTGAAAGAATTCATCACCAGAAGACCTGCACTACAAGAAACGTTAACGGAAGTCCTTCAGCAGAAAGAGAACAATACCAGTTGGAAATGTGGATCCACACACAGGAATCAAGAGCTCTGCATGGAGATAAACTTCATCAACTGGTATTCCAGCCTCTGCCCGATCAGAGGCAGCAAATGAAGAAATGGAGAATAGAAGGAAACAGATACACTGATCATTCAGAGAAGGACCAACTGCTAATCCTACACCCAGGGAAGAAAATGGGAAGAAGAAATTTTATTGGAGGAGGAGGAGAAAGAGGGGAGAAGAAGAAATAATTTTAAAATTCTAACACGCTAATGCCAATTAGTGTTGGCCATCAAGAAAAAAATCAAATCGGATTTAAAATACCTTTTGAGAAGGCAGGAAACTGAGATATGTCTTCACGAGATTTTTGTCTAAATTGAGTAAAATGAAATTTTACTACTAGACTAGTTAAATTTTTTAAATTGGACTTTATACAGTTTTCTCATAATTTCATAGCTATTGTTCTGATTTCCAAACCAGATGGGTCCTGGAAGGAGGAACCCTGCCTTCTACTTCCGGACTCTGTCACTCTCAGCACATGCTCTGAGCCTGGTACTCACAGAACAAATGCATTTTGATTGAATCTTCGATAAATTAATTTCAGAAATTTTCAACTAAAATTCAGTCCTGCTTCCAGGCATAGTCACCTTTTGAAAGATTAAGCTGAAGAAACCTTAGTATTTGTTTATTCTTAAATACTTTAAAAGTGAAGTTAATTTTGCCTTTTGTCACATATTTATGCTGCAGAGTCAGAAAACCTCTTTCTGGTTTCTTTACAGCAAATATCCTTCTAGTCTTTTAGAGCATGCTCCATTAGATGTGGTAAACATTCTCTCATGATTCCTGAGTTAAAGATCTTTCTCTCCACCTCAACAAGATGGCCATGATTTGCACTCTGGAGGCGGGGCCCAAGCACATTGTCCAGCCACAGAGCCCCATTTCAGCTGTCCCTGCCTACGAGTAACGGTTGACCAGTGGTTGTACACTAAGAAAAGTCCCTCTACATTCTTCCAAAGAGCCTGAATTATACATTCCCATTTGGAACTGATGGAAGTCCAAACAAGCAAAACAGATTTTGGTTGTACTCTTGTGAGGTACTCTAAAGTTACTCAAGACCAGATTTGTGGGCACGCAACCTGAGAAGTCATACAGGGCCCTGAACTCAGAAGGGCCCTGTTCCTGGTTTAATGCTCTGTTGTCACTAGCACGAAATTCCTAATAATTTTATTTTTGAACTTAGGCTTTGTAAGTGAAGTCAGATGGGACAACAGAGCATGCTGTGAGCAGAGGAGTATACACAACATGCATGCCCATCATTCCTTACCTCCCCATCTGCATGTAGCATTCTCTGTGTCCCATGAACACAGAATTCCAGCAGGCCCACAATGCGGGCAAGTTCAGTGAGATTCAAAACAAGTAAAAGAGACGTGTGTCACATCTATGATTGAGTAAATGGGGGCACTGAGAGCCCCGAGAGGCCATTCTTTCCTCTTGAACCATCACTTGCTTCTAACACAGATAGAAGGCAATGACCAAGAAACCCTATCCCATCCTTTCTTACTCATGTTATTTAGCTGATCACTTATGCTGCATATTTTGACATAGAAGAAAAGGGAGACATAGGGCAAGCTTCAGTCCCTTTTCCTTTCAGTCCTTTCTTACCCATTAGTAAACCAAAGGTAGAGAGTGTTGGTTGAATGTGCATGAATCAGGAAGTGAAATAAAAACAGCTGAATTACTTTTGTTCAGCATGTCCACTGTTCTGGGAAGAGCAAAATACCAGTGTATGAGTTACAAAATACGAATTGTGTCATTTCAGTAATTTCACAGTATAAGTTCAATTTGCACTTAATACAATTATATTTGTGCTTATATTTGCACTTATTTGCATTGCGCAACATAAAAATAAATGATAAAATTCATTCTAGTAATTAAAAATTTTAATTTTTCTTTACTTTACAATGACATTAATTAGCAAATAAAAACTACCATAACAAATCAAGAGAGAGATTGGGGAAGAAAGGAAAAGGTATTTTAGTACCTTTAATGGCACTCTTTTCCTGTTTTTTAAACAAGGGATCCCATATTTTCATTTAGCACTGGGTCCTGCAAATTATGTAGCCATCCCTGAGTGGGAAAAGCAGAAAACGATGATGAGAAAGTCAAACTTGAAGCAATGATAGGAAAACATCTACACGACTGTTTTTCAGGGAAATTACAAAAAAGTGTTATAACTATTCGTTCTGAGAGAATGAGATACTAAGAAGTTCTCAATTATCTGCATCATTTAAACAAGGCACCTTTATTTATTTCCCACGCATTGGGCGGTAGGCTCCTGGTTCTTTCAACCTAATGTCTGCAGTAACAATGAGTCCCACACTAGGGGGCAGCAGCCACCGTCCGTCGACCTTCCAGGGCTCCAAAGCGGCAGGATTAGGGTGAGTCCTTATTGAAGGGACCCTGAGCAAATGAAGAGATATTCACCACCTAAGAAGTTTGCTGTTTATTTTTCTACTAATTTGCCATGCTTCATTGTTTTCGAAAGAGGATGGGCCTTTTACTCCAAGGACTTAAGGTGTTTCTTTGCCAAAAAATCAAATAGTGAATATATTTTACCTGCTCTCACCCCATGACTCATTTCTAAAGTGACCAAGTAACACAGTCTGAAATATCGTTTTAAGCTTAGTTTCTCTGTACAGCCTAGTAGTAATTGGTCATTTTTATCTACTATGGATTTGATCAAAAGGAACTACTCATTTCACTGAGGCCACTTAGCAGCTATGAAGTGATAACTTTGTAACTCGTGAAGGGTGTGCAGATTTCACAGGGAAACTGCCAAGTCAAGCGATTAGTAAATCATTAAAAAATCCACACCAGTCACTCAACTAGGCTCGAATCGTTGAAGAATCAAAATGTCGTAAACAGAAACAAGAATCTAGATGTCCATATTTTAAAAGGAAATAATTTGCAAAGGTGACTATGTTTGCCAAGATATGGAAAGTTATTCACTCAGCATAAAGGTGAGAATAGCATTGCCCTACAGATGACTTGGCTCAAACATAGCTTGCAGTACTGTATTCAATTGTTCCAACAAGATTTTCCAAATAGAAACTTTATAAAAAGTGGATTGAAAGTTCCATGAAACAATATGCTAAGAGACCACTATTGTGAATTCCAGACTCTCTGGCAAAACTTAATAAGCAAGTTCCTTTTATTTCAGCTTATCACAAACCTCCAGGGAGGTGTTTCTCAACAAAGGCAGCTCTACCCACTAGGGGCATTTGGAAATTTGCAGGGGTGTTTCTGGTAGTCCCAGTGACTGGAGACAGTACCACCATTTAATATAGTGGAGATCCAGGGGCGGTCAACCACCTACAATGCATAGGGCAGCCCCAAACAATGAAAACATATCGGCACATATCTCTCACAACTTTTAATGCCTTGCCTTAAATTTATAGGTGAAAAACTTTTGTATAATTTTTTGAGCCTAAAAACTAAATCTATTTTACATATAAGCACAAACTATCTTTAGCATGGTTTTAATAAAATTGAGTGTTCTAGGAATATAACTACCAGGTACGTCGAGGGAATAGTGTGCTTTATTTCCTTCAGAACTTTACCAAGAGTCATTCACCATCTCTAAAGACTATGCCACCAGCAGCATCTCGGCTGGTGGAACTAAGTCACCAATAGAACACACTGGCAACAGTCTGCGTTTGTGGCTCTAGATTCATGATGATTCTAAGAGTACATTTAAACACACCTTTTAGTCCTTATTCAAAATGTCAAATATAAAAAGAAGAATCAACTTGAAGATTTTCCTACATCTCTTAAATTCCAGCGTATTCATTATCAGTGTAAGCATCTGACCATTTCATTATGTTCTCCTTTATACTACAGTGAGGGCATTATATATATATTTTTAAATTATATGTATTATTGACTGTATTTTCTATGGATTTCGTTTCAGGGTAGTGAAAGAGCATAACAAAATATTTGTTATAAAAAGGGGGTTTTGGGTCTCATAAGTTTGAGAGCCAAGGCTCTCGGGGTTCCGCTTCCAAGTGTGGCTACTCCCCACTCCTCCCTCCCTCCCCACTCGTCCCTCCCTCCCCACTCGTCCCTGCCACTTGCCCAGAAGGGAGTGGTCAGTAAGAAGAAATGGTGAGTAGCTAGTCCGTGAAGAAAATTTTATTCTGATTAATAATTTTTTAAATAGGCTCAACATGTAAGTTGAGCATTCTTACATGATATGGATATACATGTAGAATTGTCAAAAGTACATATTAATTAGTTAATTATTTCATTCATTAAGTATTACTAAGTACCTACTAGGTGTAAGGTATTTTGCTGTTAAATAGATAGTGTCCAAATAGCACCGAAATCATTGTTACCCTAAAGAAAATCTCTTTCTGGAAAAAACAAACAAACATGAATTTAACAAGGATATTACAGTAGGTGACAAAATAATTGACTGGGTGAAATTTTCAACTGGATCTTTTGGAAGCATTTAATTTCTATTCCAGCTACATTGGGCAAATTAGGTCCCAATAAGCCAAATCAGAGTAGAAAGAAAAAATAAAGCTAAAACTTAAAAAATAAGATTTCACATTTAGGGGGATAAAGCAATTTTTAAGGGGAAAAAAACTCTTAAAATATGATAAATAAAACAGCGAGACATTTATTTTTGACCCAAATATACATTTTTTAGAATCAGAATTATGTGACTGTGAAATTAGTCCTGCTTTTAAAGCTCTTTTGTATGACTGTTTGGTATCAAATTCTTCATAGTAAATTTAGTAATAGAAAGAAGTATTTCTCTGCAATTATTAGAAACAAATTAAATGTTACTATGGGGATTTTTTCTTTCATCTGGCCAGTTGCTAAAGTCAAGTATGGAATAGCAAAAGGCAAAACAGCCCAGGGACGGGCGTCTGTGTGACTAGGAGCAAGTCACTTAACCTCTCAGTGCCTAGGTTTCCTTATATGGTAGCACCTACCTCATACATCAAATGAATGAGCACAGGTTATGTGCTTAGCACAGTGCCCAGCATATATAGTAAGAGGCACACAGCAAACAGCCATTATCATATCTCTTTTCCATGCCAGAAACATGAAGACTGTTCTTCGTGGGAAAAATTGCCTAACTTAGGAAGGGCTCTCTTGACCTGACTAGAGAGTCCCATGAAGACTGTTCTTCGTGGGAACAATTGCCTAACTTAGGAAGGGCTCTCTTGACCTGACTAGACAGTCCCATGACTTGATTAGTACTTCAAGGCTCCGGATGTGAGAGATGCCAACCAGTCTGAACGTAATTATGAGTGTTTGACAGCCTGGCAATCCTAGGATGTTCCTGACTAAGCTATATTCAGTTGTTCTAGCTAGAAAAATGGAAGATCTGGGCAAATTTTAGATAGTGGACCTGTTGAAGTTCCCGAAGACATTCTGAATTATCTCATTAGCAAAGCAACTTCCTGATAGGTCGCTATTGACTCTGACCACAGAGAGAACTCATGATCTTCTGACCCAGAAAAGAACCCATGTGAGAAATGATTCAGTGGCAAGACACCGAGAAAACTAGTTTTACAACCTACCCAGTGGCTAAGGCTGGTCACACTGGCTGGGGGGAGGGGCAGGAAGAGCGGGGCCACTGCATGTCCAGGGGCCATTGGCGTAGAACACACTGTATGGGAATGGACTCCAGAGCTTTGTGCAACTCTGCAGCCCCAGGAAGGGCCTAATGCAGCTGGGGCATGCGGGCCCCCTCTACCACATGGAAGCTACGTCTGTCTGCCTTCCTTCAAGCCTTTCCACAGCATGGCAGGACCACTGAACTCGCCTACAAAGAAATGCAAACACAGGAGGTTTTAGGTTATGGCTCTTAATCCTTATAACTATCCTAGCTCATTAAAATCATCCTCTTCCCAGGCAAGGAAACATAGACTTAGAGAAGTGACACTTAAGGTGACAAAGCTGATAAGTGAGATTCAAAGCAGGCTCTCACTTCAGATTCCATGCTCTTGACCTCTGTGCTAGACTGCCTCCCAGGAACCAATTACAACTAATGCTTGTTTAGGGTTTTACTATTCATGAAGCTCCAAACACTCATGGACCGTATATCATCATCATCTCTATTGTATAGATGAGGAAACAGACAAAAAGATGTACGCATGATTTTCCCAAGTTTACACAATTAGGTAGTAGAGCCATGATTTGCACCCCAGGTCTTTTGAATCCAAGTAGAATTTACAACAGGAATGCTCAAACAAAATGGGGTGAGCTAGGCTGAGCACCCAGCTTAAAGGGAAAGAGTTCTGAGGTCAGGAGCTTAACCTATTTTTGTCTTTGCTTTGTTTGCCCAGACAATGCTTTTACGTGAATAGAATTATCTGATAATAACTTGCATCCTGATTACTGCATTTGTACATTCTAGATATACTGCCTTTCCCTAGATGATACGTAGAATTTGTATAATCTAGAAATGTCTTCTGTGTTGAAAATGAATATTGAAGAGAGCACTTTTGGATTTAAGCAATATCCTTAAAATAACATGTCAAGAATACTCAGCTCCACATGGAAATACCCCCCCCCCCCGGTTAATAAGCAAATACTGTCTGTGCAAGATGCCAAGGCTCAGAAGGAGATAACGAGAGGAGAACCTTCCATTGCCCCAGAGGACAAACATCTCTGAATTTGGGGGAAAACGCCATTTTCAGATTTACTCCAGTACTTTTATGTAATTACCTATTGCTTATTATGGATTTCAGAAGTTCTGGTGAAGGGAGGATAGCTGAATTGGTAGGAGATTATTCCGTGTGAGAAAGGAAATAACCTACTTAGATCTCTGTAAACGTTTCCTCTACTGAGCTGGTCTTGAGACACTGTGTTACCGGTCTCATAAAACTGGCAGGCATCACGAGGAAGTTTTGTGGGCTTGGTGATGTCTGAAATGTACGGAGCTCTCAGCAACTAAAGAAAGAAGGGAGTTACTGAGATCAGTTACCTCACAGTCATTTTACATTTTTCTTCCTACAGAGTACTGAATCTATTCATCTAGAAAACTACTTTTTTCAGTTATAAAACATGATAAAATGTTTCATCAGTTTTACCCCTTTAGGCTCAATTGTAAAATTTATTTAACTTCCTCTATCTAATTTATTGTCAATTTATAATAAATGTAGAGTATATTATTCTCATGAGATAAAACTCCCTTAAAAATATTTTCAACCCATGCAGTAAAAAGTAATGCAATGCTTTTCTCAATTACATAACAAATTGTGAGTACCACCAAATTTTACCTATTTCCAAGATTAGAGACATTAAAAATTTAGAAGGGCCATTCATTTTATGAGTGAATGAGTGAATGGATGAACTAATTAATTGTTTAAATATTTACTGAATGGTAGGCATGGTGCTAGGTACTAGGAATACCTGGATTAATAATTAACCAAAGGCCAATAACCCACACTCAACATCAATATAATCAATATAATTTCATGAGCAGGAACAAGAAATGTAAGTACATCAAAAGTATCCTAAGTGGAGAGTTTTGGGGAAAATTCAAAAATAGAATTTAGGAGATGTTATTTCTGTCCTATTCTGCTTCATTATTTTGTTCTCTGTGTGAGCTGGAAAGCACATATTCTCCCACTGTGAGAGGGAAGGGGTGTCATGCACTCCAAACCAACCACTTGTGCCCTAGGCAGAAATTGTCAATGTTAAGACAAATCACATACAGTTTATTGTAGACCTAGATCAAAATTGAAGAAAAGAGATTCCTAAAACATGGCCTTGGATGCTTGATAACAGTGCTTGGAGCTTGACAGATGTAAAGATTGGCAATTCACCTTTACCTCTGCCAAAATATATATTCCCCAACAGCCAGAAAAATAAAATGACTAAAGCCACAAATGTGGGAAGGGAAGCTGAGTATTAAAAATTCCAGATGTCTTGCAGGCTGATGCTAAATCTTGAGGAAAACCAGCACATCAGAGTTCTTACCAACTTTCCAGGAAAGGAATCCTAGTGTCCATAGGCAGGGGTCAGAGAGCTTACTGGTTATAAAGGAATAGAGCCACACTGACCTTCAACACGGCCAAAACCATGGCAAGCCAATGCATCAGGCCTGATGACCAGTTCCTTGAAACTGGGCCATCTGGGTTCTAGCCAAGTCAACTGTATAAGAGTGGGCCTTCACCAACAGGTAAAGTAGCCAAACAGTGAGGGTGCTCCAAACTACCACTTGGATGAATGGAGTTGGGTAGTAGGGGGACAGGAGCCTAATTTCTCAATCAGAAAAAGGTCAAAGGGTTATCCTTCTCCGAGTTTAGGTAGGAAGTGCAGTCAGTCTGATTTCACAATAGAGAAGGCAAGCTCTCCCGATCTGATGTCATCTCCTATGAGTGTCTTCCCTGCTCATCTATATGAGGCATACTGGCCTCCTTGCTCTTACATGTTTCACATGCTCCTAACTCAGGGCCCTTGCATTTGCTCTTTTCTGTGCCTGGAATGTTCTTCCTCATGGTTCTTTCTCTCACCTCCTTTAGTCTTTGCTGAAATTTCATCTCCTCAATGAGGCCTACTGTATTAGTTTTCCTTTGTTGCTGTAACAAATTACCACAAATGTAGCGGCTTAAAACAACACAAATTCATTATCTTACAGTTTTGTAGGTGAGAAGTTTGGTAGCAGTAGCACTAAACTAAAATCAAAGTATGGGCAGTCTGCATTCTTTTCTGAAGGTTCTAGAGGAGGATCCGTTTCCTACTCATTTGGGTAGAGTTTAAATCCCTGTGGTTATAGGAGTGAGGTCCCTGTTTCCTTGCTGGCTTTCAGTTGAGGGTCATTCCTGGCTTCTAGAGGCTTCCTGCACTCCTTAGCTGGTGGCCCCCTGCATCCATCTTCAGAGCCAGCAATGACAGGTCAAGTCCCTATCCCACTTCAAGGCTTTCCTCCTTCTTTCTTCTCTTCTCTCTCACTGAACCAGGAAAGGTTCTCCAC